TTCGGACGCGCCGCCGGGGGCGGGGACAGGGGCCGGGCGCCGCCCCCTCGGCCAGCGGGGCCGGCAGCGATTGGCCGGAGAGGGGAACAGCTGTTGTGGCCACGTGGTGGTGTTGTGGTTGCATCAGACGGCAGGGCGGACAGATGTGGGGCGAGGCGGGCACAGCTGGAAAGGGGGGCACAGCTGGAAGGGGGGCACAACTACAAGGGCACAGCTGTGGGGGGCACACAGCCCAGGCCTTGCTGCCAGGTGGAAGGAGGCCACTTGGCCCCGAGTGTTGGAGCAGGGCCAGAGCCATAGCTGAGACCCCGGGGACTGCCCAGCTGCACAGCCGGCTTCCTCTCTCTGCCTCTCCCACCCGGGTGCCAGGCGCTGGGCAGGCTCGGTTCTCCGCCCGCGCTCCTGCGGTGGAAGGCGCCCGCGTGAGTCGCCCGGGAGCAGCCCCGGGGTCCGGACCTGCCCTAGGAGCAGCCGAGGAGGCTGGCCGGGGGAGGCTGTGGACATGCCGACAGCCCCATGAACGCAGGTGTCGAGGCCTGGGCAGGGCCTCGGCCCCGTGAGACGAGTAACACTCATGTACGTGCCCGCCACGCTTGCCACGTGCACCTGCTTGTGTACCGGAAACCACACGGGATGGCACAGAAACGGGTGTGGAGGCCGGCTTCCGCTCCTTTTTGCAGCGTCTCAGGCCTCATACCCCCAGTGTTTTAAAACGAGGGATCCCCGAAGGCCCAAATGATTTGTCTCGGGCATAGCAGGGACTTGGGGAGCGGATGCCACAGCAACCGAGTTTGGTGCCCGCAGCAACAGCTGCGTGCGGCTCCATGGGGCGCATGCAGCAGCAGGAGCTGCCCTGTCCCTGTGCCCCCCAAAACGAGCCGCTGGCAGCTCCCTTTGATTCGGTGCCTGGGCCTCCCCCTTGCTGCAGCACTGTTGGGGAACACGGTTTTGTTTAAACCAGATGACTTAAAAAGGCCGCTAACCTAGAAACCTGCATGTGCTTTTCAGTCCCCTGCAGATGATTCTCCTGTGCAATGTTGCAGCGACCGTGTTGCAGAAGGGGAATCACCTGCGAAAATGATGGGGCTTTGAGGGAAACGCTTTAATCCACACTGGATTTTGTAATGTCTTGATTTAAAAAAACAAACACAAAGCTTCAAGCTGGTTTTCAAGGGCCTGTTCTTAAAGATGAAGTAATGTTTGCTGATGAAATACTGATGTGTCCCAAGCAGGAAGGAATCTGAGGAGCTTCACGCCTAGTTTTGAGCCGGTCTCGGACCAGTTGCTACACCTGGGAGCTTGTTGCCTGGAGTAACAAAGCTCCAGTAAAACAAAAGCCTGAGACTTGTGTAATGCACGGGGAAGCCGCCCACGGGCACGTTGCCATGTGACATTGCTGCAGCCGCACGGACCCGTCTTGTTGCAGATACTTGCCTACAGATTAATGCTTAATGGTGGCGGTGAAGACATCGTCTTCTCACCCTGCGCTCCAGTATCAAAGCAAACGACGGGAGTGGCTCTTCTTGGGGGCGAACCACACACCGGGGAGTCAGAATTGAGGCAGGTGTTTGAAAGCTCATCTCTCTGGGGACCGATGGCATGGTGGCAGGGCTAGCTGGGCATCGGACCCCTCTGTGCTCTCCCTGGGTCTCTCTCGGACCTGCTCTCTATTTTCTTGTACAATTCTCCCGCAGCCCGGACAGGGCCAGGGGTTGCAGCGCCGTGTATGGACCGTTCATGGCCAGCAATTTCTCTGGGCTTGCCACATCCTGGGCAAGTGCCCCCTAGCAAGGAAGGGCTCTGCCTCCAGCTGTGCTTTAAAAGAAGCCTGCGGCTGCTGCTGGACCATGCGTGGAGCTGCAGCCTGGAGGTGTATTAGACATGCTCAGAGGCCCCTTGGGGACCTGTGATGGGGAGATGCCTGGTTTTGGGATCCCGATCAGCGCTGATGAGACTGCGGGGCCTCTGGACATGCAGAGAAGCAGAGCATTAGGCCCCCGGGGCCTAATAGGCAGGTGCCCATGGGATTGAGGTGCCCTGAGGACCAGGGGCAGCTGAATGGGGATGTTCAGGAATGCAAGTTTGGACTTAGCTGGAATTTGGGTGCCTCTGAAATCCCACTGCAGGCTCTTAGGGCCTTTTCGGGATCTGGTCCCGGTGACGCCTGGGGGGCCTGACCTGGCAAAATCAGAAAGGGCCACACCAGAGCCTCCAGATGCACGACCCTTGCATTGTGCACGTGTTTGCTGAGGGGGTAGATCAGGATCCTGCTCCTCTTTCCCAAATGTATTTCCTGCGGTGCTGCTGTTGGACTAGCTCTGAGCATGCAGGCAAGGTGGCATCACAGTCAGCAGCTCAGCATGTGAGAGTGAGCAGATTATTTCAGGCCACTTCCAGCACTCTTACCTAGTGGGGTTTTTTTAATGCACCTAAATTTGCATTTTTGGGTGTTGAGAGTAAGGCTTCTATACTGTGCAGGATCAGGCCTGAAAGCAGAGGTGGGGATGAACAGCAGGAACTGAACATGGTGTGTGAGGCCTTCTTCCAGCAAAAAAAGCACCTACACACAGACTGAAAATTAAGCTTGTAATCATTCCACTTCAGGAGCAGAGCTCTGTATCTTGTTGTAGCCCCCTTATGCAAATAGCAAGTAACTTCTTGTCCAGAAAACAAAGGCATCATTTAGAGGTCAGGAAACTAAACTCATTCACCCCTTCTCCAAAGGGGTGGGGATTTCAAAAAGCTTTGCTCGTAGTGGCTTCTCAGACAGTTGGATGAAATGGCTATTATTAAAGACTGTGCATGTGTGGTTATTCTCTCTCAAACAGTCTGAAAAATCTCCATTGGTGCTTGGGGTCTAGGATGTAGCTGTGTTGGTCTAAGGACACAGGCAGACAAGGTTCTTTGGGTGAATCTGATTTCTTTTATTAGACCAACTTAAATAGTTGGAAAAAATTTTTTTAGCAAGCTTTCAGGTTTAAAAACCCTTTGTCAGGCTGAGGAAGTCTCTGCAGTTGGTGTATCTGATGTTCCTGGGTGGAGTGAATAGCTCTCGTGCTATCGCCCTTGGTGCTTGTGCCTCCTGTGAGTCTTTGTTTGCAGCCTCCCAGGAAGGAGGATGGGCAAGAGCTGGATTTCTGATAGGGAAGAAAATAAGCACCTTTTATTGGAGGCAAACTTTTTGTGCCTGCTAAAGAAGTCTCAGAAAGGGCATTTTCCCCCTGCTGATCGTCTTTAACCCTATTTCGGTATTAGTGTATCCTGGCCGCTGCAGTCTGGGGGCCCAGGCTCTCCATGAGGGTGACACTCTAAGTTTGGGGTTTCTGAGTCATGTGAAAACTCAGAAAGTCTTTAAAAAAATGTTGACCTGTTGTTTCCTGTCTCTAAATGTTGCTCAGGTTGACTGCTGCCATCTAGTGACTTCGGATTGCTGCCATCGAGCGGCTTGAGATTGGTTTCTCACTGTCTTGTCCAAAGGGAAGCTAGAAAATGGCTCACATGAGCTTGACGACATGCTGGAATTAACTCTAGGCCGGCATTCATTCCTGTGCGGGGGACCAGCATAGGACTCGTGTGCTGTTAAAGTCCCATACGAGCCCTGCTGTGAATGTGTGGCTGCTGGTATTCAGATCTGACATTAGCCCTCATCTCTGCTCCAGCTCCTGTAAGTAGAAGTAGCAGGATTTACAATG